AAAAAATTATATTTTTTACACATTGATTGTTCTTAACTAATTTTAAACTGCTTTTTTTATCAACGTAATTCGGTTATTTGTCTCTTATAATAAGGAACGGAGGGAGTAAATACCACTTTGGTACTTATTATTTCATTTATAGGGGAAAATTTTGGCCCTTTTTATTTATTACTTGTATCATTTTTAATGTTTCATTTTTAATTCTGTCCTTATTAATTATAATAAAGGTGAAGACTGAAACGAAAGGGAATATGTGAGAGAAAATATAGTAGTATTTAACGCTCTCCTTAATAAAGGCAAAAGTAGAAGACTTTATCTATCTAATATTTCTTTTCGTATTAGAGAAACTCTTTCAAAGCGACAAATAATAAGGACCAGAGTAATATAAGTCACTCATAGGGTCATCAATAAGCTTTTTTCTAATTTTATTCTTAATAATTCAATAAATGCAAAAAAAGATTAAATGAATAGGTGGAAGAAAACATAAAACATATTGTTGACACCTTTTTTTAGTGAGAGCAAATGTAAAAATATATATATATCAATATAGTGTACTCTTCCGATCCTTAATATAAGACCTATTTAACTATTTGATTAGATTAGAAATTTAGGTAAGTTAGTTAATTATAAAAAATGTGACACATTTTTTCTAAAACATCATAATCATCTTTCTTAATACCTCATCTCCCTCTTTTACTTGATATGGTTGGGGGAGTATCTATCTGTAAGAGTAATTTAGAGAAATTGATAAATATGAGAAATGAGTCTTATATTTAGAACCAAAACCAACTTAATATTAGATCCATATTAAGAACTGGAGGAATATTTTTTAATGTACAAGTTTAAAATATAAAAAACTCATAATAAGAAGAGAGTGATACATCTTGCAAATTGTGTGCTAATAATGCCGTGGAGTGTGGAGGAGTCTAATATGACAGCCCGTTTGTAGCAAAGTCGTTATGGGCCCGGTTCTGCAACACCGCTTCTTCTTCTGTTCCCCACAAGTCACTTTACGACAAAGTATCTACCTAATGCACCTCTTAACCGTGTGTCGGCGGTGTTCCTGTACTTCCTCTAATCCCATCCTTTTCATCCTGCACCCAACACACCATCTCTCCCCGTTTTATTTTCATCATCTCTGTCGCTGAAATATGATAATATTACCTCTATCTAGTCACAAATATAAAACCTCAATATACATATCTCTTAAATTTATAATACTTTATTCAAAGTATTTTTATTGAGTGCATATATTAAGAGAAGTTTCAAGTAATTCTAATACACATAATTAAATAACAGAGACATATTTATTATAAATAATTAAATTAACTAAATTTCTTAACATCAGTAATGGGAGGGAGGTGGTATTTAGTACTTCAGACATATGCTATTCTGATAGGCCTGCTGTGCGTAGAGCACTGCCTCTTTGTATTAAAAAAAAGAGAGAGCTTCCTGCTTATAGTAAGATACTCAACCTCTTGGATCCGCCTCGGCCAAGCTTAAATTATCAGGATATATTGGGTGGAACAGCAATATGGTAATGTTACCAGGATCAGATTGGGCGTTGAATCGGTCAGCGTGTTGCTTTCAAGATAGTGATCAGACCAATCTCAGTTAACAAACTCTGATAATGGGGTGGAATTTTCACAATATTTTATAATTTAACAAAAATTGTTGAAATTAAGTATTTTCTGTAAATATTTACGAGGATATAATTTCTAAAACAGTTATTATTGATCATATATATATACACACACACTTAAAAATGAAGCATGATTTGTTAAAATCATAATATATAACGTGTAAAGAATTTTGACAGGCTGCAAATAATACAACTCCCTTTTCAGATATCATGCATTCGTATTGGTTAACCAATACAAAATACTCCTCTGGTCCTTAATATAGGAACTAATTGTTGAATTGGTTTTAGTCCTAAATATAAGACCCATTTCTTATATTTATCGATTTTATCTAAATTATCCCTATAAATATTCCCTCAACCATAATCAAATAGAAAAAGGATAAAGGTATTAAGAAAAATGATTATGGTGTTTTAAGAAAAACATGTCATATTTCTTATAATTAACTAATTTACCTAACTTTTTTAATCTCATCAAATTAATTAAATAGGTCTTATATTAAATATTGGAGGAGTGGTATTTAACACTCTCCTTAATAAAGACAAAAGTGAAAGATTTTATCTGTTTAATTTTTTTTAGTATGTGAAAAATTCCTTCAAATGACAAATAATAAGGACTAGAGTGATATAAGTCACTCGTAGAGTCATTAATGAGTTTTTTCTAATTTGTTTCTTAATAACTCAATAAATGCAAAAAGAAAAAAATAGGTGGAAGAAAACATAAAACACATTATTGACACCTTTTTTTAGTGAGAGCAAATGTGAAAAAAAAAAAATCAATATAACGTATTGTTTAATGTACAAGTTGAAAATATTAAAAACTTATAAAATGAGTGATATATCTTCCAATTTGTGTGCCAATAATGCTGTGGAAGAGTCTAATATGGAAGCCCGCTTGTCCCAAAGTCATTATGGACCTTGTTTTGCAACACTACGGGTAGGGATGTTCAAGTTGTCCTATCCCAGTTCCGGTGAGTTCAAAACAGGGCAGAACGGTACAAAAATAATTTCAGGATGGGACAAGTATGAGACGGGACGGGAATAGTGCCCGTCCTGAGATATTTGTTTTTAAAAAAATTATTTATTAATAATTATTATTAGATTATTCAATTTACTTATTAATAATAATTATTATTTTTATAGTGATTTTTAACTCTTAAGTTGTAGTATTATCTCAACAAAATCTCATTTCTCAGTAAAATAATTCATAAAATCATTATATAATGTTTCTTTTACCGTATTTTTTTACAGTATTTTTTTACACATTTTTATACTATATAATTGAGCTTTCTACAAAATAATTTTATAATGTTTTTATCTTTAGAAGTCCATAAAAAAGCATTATAACATTAAAACAAATTATATGAAAAATTATAATATTTTTTTTAAAAAAGGGGGAAATGGGACGGGACGGGCCACGAGACTAAAGCCCTGTCCTATCCTGTGAACACCCCTAACTGCAGGTGTGTTTGGATTGGCGTTGGGCAAAACTGACTTCTAGTCTAACTAATTCTTGTAACTAAAATTAGAGTAAAAATCAGTTAGTATAATGTGATTTGTGTTTAGATAGATGCTTATAAAAATCAATTAAAAAAGTTAAAAGTTGTTTGAATGATTAAATAAAAAAGTGAGTTCAATTATAAAAATCTATGAGAAAACGTGAAACTGTAATTTGAAATAGAAAAGTCACATTTTCCTTTATTGAGTCCAGTTGAAATTGAAAGCCACAAGTTAGTTGGGCTTTTGGCCCCATCCAAATAACTATTTGGTCATAAATAAATCACAAACTGCAGTTTCATGTTTTTCTATGGATTTTTTTCATTTCAAACGATAATCCAAACATGCTCCGCTTCTTCTTCCGTTTCCCCGTTAATCACTCAGTGGCATTAGAATTTGCTACAAAGTATCTGCCTGTGTCCCTCTTAACCGTGTCGGCATGTGTACTTGCTCCAATCCTATCCTTTTCATCCTACACCCAACACACCATCTTTTCCTCTTTTATTTTCATTATCTGTGTCCCTAAAATATGAAAATACTACCTCCATCGAATTATAAGTACAAAACTTCAAGACACTGACCTTCTAAATTTATAATACTTTGTTCAAAGTATTTTAACTGAGTGCACGTATTAAGAGAAAGTCCCAAATCGAGCAATAATTCTAATACACATGATTAAATAACATAAAAACTCACTTGTTATAAATAATTAAATTAATTAAACTTTTTAATATCAGGAACGGGAGGGAGGCGGTATTTAGTATTTCAGACATATTCTATTCTGACGAGCCTGCTGAGCGTAGGGCACTGCCTCTTTGTATTAAAGAAATAGGGAGCTTCCTGCTTATAGTAAGATACTCAATCTCCTGGATCCGCCTGAGCAGAGCTTAAATTAAGCGAGTGTCTTTTTATACGGAGACAACTCTTTCAGACCACCTTTTAATCCCTCACTGTTCACGATTCACGAACCAATAATAAATCTTCAATTCTCTGATTCTACGTGCACAGGGACGAAAGCCCAAAATGGAATTAACTTGGCATTAATCAACAGGAGTAATCCACTTGATCATAGCATTGGACGGAGGGAGGGCCCTCACAATTTGCCGTGCACATTACAAGTCCGAACCCCAACGTGGTTGAGGTGCTGGATTTGTAATTACAAAACCAAATCACTGGGATCATTCATTTATTTAGTTCACTTTATGAAAACACCGCTTTTTGTAATTTCCAAATGCTATTCACAAACAAACATACATCGCATTAGCTGTTATCTGCTAATAACTGGTTGTCTATATATCAACGTCTGTGAAGGTTGACAATGACATCATACAAAAGGGAAATTATTGCCATCCCCGTTCAAGGGGTTCCCTATTACCACAACTAACCTCTAATTTACTATCCAAAACTGGTAAAATTGTCTCCCATACGCTCTTCTGTTATTAGTATTACTCTTCGCTGAAAAAAACACTAGTCCTTTTTTTTTTTTTAATGAAGGGAAGATAAATTCGGGGGGACCACATCGAATAAGTGCGATCCAATGATACAAGCGTATTTGCGAAGAAGCTACAACCGCAGGGGAGGGAGACGAGGTGAGATATTAATCATCCACACCCACCGGTTTTGGACCATTGGATTCGGGGGGGTGTTGATTACGTACACAAGGGGGGACAGAGTGGTCCGCCTGTCATTCCCCATTGCGAGGGACCCTCTTCTTTTGACAGAATCCAGGATTCATACACGTGCCAGCAAACGACACTCACATATGCTCGTCCTCACGCTATAACTATCCCGCCAATTTTTTTTTAATATATTAGAGAAACCGTATTATAATTTTCTACCACTCAAGATTTGTTAAAAGAGAGTGTGAGACTTGGCACCTGTAGGCTTCGGCTATATGCATGCTCTCTCTCTCTCTATCGCCTTTACCTGTCTGCAACTACAGCTGCCATCTCCTTCGCTTCTTCCTTCATCTTGCTCGCCCTTTCTTTCTCTTACTTCCATTGTATTGTTTTCGCTCTGATCTCACTCCTCTGTTCACATTTCTTTTTCTGAATGGAGGTCGCCTTCGTTGTATTTTGTGCCCCCTTCTATCGGATCTGGCTCTCGTCAATCTGGTAGTTCTTACCAAAATTTAGGGCTTTTCAGCAATGCATTTGTTCTGATTTCTTCTTTTTCTTCCTCTTTATACGAAGAATTCACTGAAGATTTGAGATACTCGGGAAATGAAAGCGACCCAGAAAGATTCGCAAAAGTTAATTTGGGATGAGACGAGAAGCCCCTCCGCTTCCCCTATGGCAGGAGCTGCCACGCATTCGCGAACCTTACCCAAGCTGCTTGTGTGGCTCATCCTCTTCGTTTCTGTCACCTATATTGTTTACACGCTCAAGCTCGTTTCCACATCACGCGCTTGCGATGATGGACCCTTCTCTACCGACCGCCTCTCTTCATCCTCTGCCGCCACGCTTAACACTGTGCCCAGAATCAGAATCAATGTCACTGCCTCCAGGCCGATTCGAAATCCAACGTCCATAGCTGTGAGTCGAGAATCTCAAGAAATCAACAACCAAACGGAGCTCCGCCACGTGGTGTTCGGAATTGCCGCCTCCGCTAAGCTCTGGCATCAAAGAAAGAACTACATCAAGCTGTGGTATAAGCCCAAGGAAATGAGGGGCATAGTGTGGCTCGATGAACGAGTTAAGACCTATGACAACGACGGCCTCCCGCCGATTAAGATATCTGGTGACACTTCAAATTTCCCCTACAAGAACCGGCAAGGTCACCGGTCCGCTATTCGGATCTCTCGCATTGTCTCCGAGACTCTACGATTGGGGCTTAAGGATGTGAGATGGTTCGTGATGGGGGACGATGACACCGTTTTCGTCACCGACAACCTCCTCAGGGTTTTAAGGAAATACGATCACAACCAATTCTATTACATTGGTAGCTTATCGGAAAGCCATCTGCAAAACATCTTCTTTTCGTATAACATGGCGTATGGCGGTGGCGGCTTCGCCATTAGCTACCCATTGGCCAAAGCTCTGGTGAAAATGCAGGACCGCTGTATTCACAGGTATCCAGGACTCTACGGCTCCGATGACCGAATGCAAGCGTGTATGGCCGAACTCGGTGTTCCACTCACCAAAGAAGTCGGTTTTCACCAGGTCAGGTTCCTTGATACGCTCTCATCTGCTTCTGTTATTGTCACTCTGTTTCTCTATCATTATTGAATGACTAATTTTACTCAATTATTGTCGGCCATGTTTGTGTGCATCTCTTTGATTTGCCTTATTCGTAATTTCATTCCCTAATACAGTGTTGGCTTTTACGGTCTTAGTGACCCTTGTACGGTGGTTAAAGCTAGAACTTTCCATTTCAATGTTACTCTCCTTACTGGTTTTTGGTCCCTATACGACGAGTGTAAGCAATGGCGTTGTGTCGGTGGATTTTGCGATCAATTTATTTTGGTTTTTCTTAAAGCAAAAGACTTCTCTCTTCCGCAATTAATTTCTCTATAGTGGAATTTAATTATTCTCTGTCTCCTTGCTGGTGCTGTTCAATGTTAAAGAAAATGCGGATTCATCTTGTGCGAATAATTTCCTAAACAGACAATAATAAAAACAAACATTGAGGTCCGTCTTTTATGACACATTGACACCCGCTGCATTCACTTTTTGTATGGGAAAAAATTGAGGCGAAACGTTACCATTTTTTTAACTGTGAACCGTGAAAGGCATTTTGTGGACTCTGTATGCTTTACTGATAACCTTACGCTTCAAAATGACTGAGGAGAGGAATGGACTTAGCAGGGGTCCTGTCTAAGTCTTACATGTTGGTGAAAGTTCTATTTCACTTTCCTTAGTGAAACCTCGCAGCTTATTTGGAGGGGGATTGAACCAGGTTTGGATCCTCTCGAAATGCAAGATTTATGATGTGCAAGAAATCATTAGGTTTTCTTCAAAATATGTCTACTTATATGCTTCAGTTAGTAATACCTTTTAGAAAATTCAATAAAACAGATATACTAGTTCCTGAAATCAATTTTTTTGATGTTGAACATTTGACCCGCCAGCGAACGTCATTGCATAGACTCCCACATTTTTGTGAATGGTTGGAGGGAATGCTCTGTCCTGTTGGGCCCCTTATCTCTCAAACGACATGAGTATGAAGAATTTTGCTTTGTTACATAATTATTGGCGTGCTATAACTCCATTTGCCGTAGATAGTTAAGTGTTCTAGATTTGGACTTTCACAATTCAGGTCTTTTATTTGTTCCTTGTGCCCTTGTAGCCGCGGAAAGGGAACATAAAACGATGATGGTTTATGTCTTGCCTCCTAATGCATTGGTAACTTGTTGTGCTCAGGCATGAAGAATTGAAATATAATCATGCTGTCATTGACCCCTCGGTGGTCTCTGAGAGGGGGAACTCTGTTGTTCTTCTTTTGTTTGCTCAATGAACTAATAAAATGGAGCTGCAGTTTTTTCTTTTTCAAAACCATAATTAATGTAGTCATGCTTGGTGATGTCTTAGTTTTACTACTAACATGTACTTCTTGTTTAATTGAAACCAGTATGATGTGTACGGGAACCTGTTTGGGCTTCTTGCAGCTCATCCTGTGACCCCACTTGTTTCACTGCACCACCTTGATGTTGTTGAGCCAATCTTCCCCAATGTGACTCGATTGGAAGCCCTTAAACGGCTTACTGTACCAATGAAGTTGGACTCAGCAGGTCTGATACAGCAATCCATCTGCTATGACAAAAAAAGAAGCTGGACCATATCAGTTTCATGGGGTTTTGCTGTCCAAATCTTTCGTGGTGTGTTTTCACCACGGGAGATAGAAATGCCTTCGAGAACATTCTTAAATTGGTACAGAAGAGCGGATTACACTGCCTATGCATTCAACACGCGCCCGGTTAGCCGAAACCCATGCCAAAAGCCTTTTGTGTTTTACTTTTCAAAGGCAAAATTCAATTCTACAAAGCAGCAGATAGTGAGTGAATATGATCGGCATCGTGTCCCCCACCCTGAATGCAGGTGGAAGATGATTGATCCTTCGACTTTTGACAAGGTGGAGGTATATAAGAAGCCTGATCCTTATCTCTGGAATAGAGTAAGTACTCACAGCTTGATGAATGTCTATGGATTTGGAGTTTTCTTTGTTTTGAATCTTGGTGGTGGAATTGGTCAGAGATTGATGCGGATCGGTTTTGCGTCTGTTTTTGCAGGCTCCCAGGAGGAACTGTTGCAGGGTGATGAAGTCAAAGAAGTCAGGAACAATGGTAATAGATGTGGGTGTATGTAGGGAAGGGGAGGTCAGTGAAATCTTGTGATGACTACTCTATTAATAGGGAAAATCTTTTTTTTTTTTTTCCTTGTTTAGATCCTTAGCTTATTTGTTTAATTTTTTGTTCCTCAAGTCGAGTCAGCAAAAAATTTTGCAATTTTCCTCCGGGTTAAGTCAACTGCCACGCAATTATTTAAAAGGGAGAGATTGGGGGGGAAGGTCAATGTACAAAAAGATTTGTAGTTTAAACAGGTTCTATTATATTGACTCCCTATAAGTTTAATTTAATTTGTAATTTTATTACACCATCTCCTCTGAGGAGGGAGGCTATTTTTAAACTGGTGAGTGGTGAGCACATAAAAACTGGTCTGTGATTCTGAACTGTTGTGCTTTCCATGTTTGGACTGTGAATACAGTGAACTCTGTAGTGGGGGCAATGTTTTAAAAGCCGGACCGGAAATCAAACCGGAAAGATCAACGGGTCATGGTTCAATCGGTCGGATCGGTTGGACCGTTCGGTTAGACCGGTGACGCAATAATTAATTTAAAACAATATTATATACATATAATTAGTATATACGAAAAATATCAAATTATTAAATAATTTAGAAATGTATTTAAATAATCTAAAATTATAATGAAATCATTGAAAATGGACTAAAACCTTATATATTTAAATTTATGTATGTTTAAAATATTTAATGATATTACAAATTATCAATTCATTCAAATCAAAATATTTTTTAAAAGATAGACCAAATATCGAAATAAAAAGACTAGCGACTCACGATTTTAACACCACAATATATGAAATTTTCAATGAAATAATACTATATGGTTATAAATAGTCTAAAAATATATTAGGATATTTAAGGGGATCAATTTTTTATTTTTCTTCTATTTTTTAAAATTTTTTTAGTATTTTTAAGTCAGGCTAAAAAACCATCCGGTTTTCTGAAAACCGTTCCGGTTTCCGGCTTAATAACGGCTCAACTCCGGTCCAATCCGGCTCAACTATGTGAACGGTTTTTTGGTCCAAACCGAGCCGTTAACGAGTCCGGGTGATGGTTCAACCGGTCCGACCGTCCGGTTCGGTCCGGTTCTTTAATCATTGAGTGGGGGGATAATTGCTGTCATTTTGGAGGAAAGGTAAATGATTGAATTTGATGCAACAATTAGAGGGGTCCGCATCGGTGTTAGAGAGCGTCGGTGGCAGGTGATTGCCTTTTCCGAAAATGAAAGGGACAACGAAAAGGAAAGAGGTGTTATTTTCCCTTTTCAACGGTGCCGGGTCGTTCTAGGGTAGGTAATGACCAATAAATAAATCTATAATCCCCGACGCTCGTCCAAACGCATTGGACCCTTGTGTCTCTGCTAAAAATTCAGGAAGGACAGGGTTCCAATCAATGATGTCCTTTTATTAACATAGGCTGAATTGCATTATCGCTTAACTTCTAAAATTCGATGAGAAATCTCCATAAATTTCTAAATTTGTGCAAATAATCACTTTGTTAATATTTCGCTTACAAAACATCATATATCATTAATGATTCATGTACCTTAATTTTGTGTTTAGTTCTGGAAAATCATGTGATAAAAATTGATTGTTAAGTTACCTTTCATTAGACATTATAAGTGTCGTAGGAAAATTGATTATGAGAGATCTGTTTGAGAAAGCAATATTAACCAGGTAGCCAACGTATCTGGTTCTTTCCCGCCTCATTTTTCCTTCAGAACTTTTTTGATGTTACATGAGGATTATGATCTGAAACTTCTAATTTGCAATCTCAACAATATACTACTACTAATAAATAGGGACTCCACAATACATGAATGCAGAGAGAGAGAGAGGGAGGGAGGGAGGATTGGAGGGAGACATTTGACAAGACTGCGTAAGCTGGCCAGAGATGTCACTATTTCAATGACGTGCGTAATGACTAGGATTGTCTTCCCAATTATTTTCAACTTTCATTTAATTATCACTGAACCTCCCCATTTATCATTTATTGATTTATCACCCCTCCTCTCCCTTCTTCCGTCCCCCCGTCATCCATGTCATTAATATTTATTAAAACATCCAATATAAAATATAAAATATATTAAGGGGGAGTTTATTTATCGATTTATTTTAAAAAGAAAAGGTGATCTTAGTTGGGAGAGTGGGAGCGAAGTAAAGAGGAATTGGGAAAAATATTTTTGAGATGAATTAGATACAGAGATGTGTTATGATTAATTTGTTTTTAACTTGTTTTTATAATTAAACTAAGCGAAAAATATACTTAAATGACAGACTAATATGTATTTTTAAAAAAATTAAAGAAAAACCGATCCTATATTTCCCACAAACACGGCAAACTTGATCCTCTCTCAATAGAAACAATCCCTTTTCTATTGGTCATGTGCAGAAAGCCTGGTTTGTTAATTTAATGGAAGCATGGGTTAAATCTTAAATGACACTCATATACCAAATATAGGGAACACGCATTTCTTCCCCCCCTTTTCCCCCATCATGATGTGATTTGATTCCCGACTTGTTTGCCTTTACTCCAAGAAAAATGAAAATAATTCATGAGCGATAAAGAGTGCCTAAGTCAGCGGCGCCTATGGCTATATAACAGTTATGATTATCAACAATCATTACAATATTAATTATGTCTCTCACTAATAATTAATTATCCTTATTGCCACTAAATTATTTTGACGCCATTTAGTATTAAAATCACATTAAAAACCTCTAGTGTTAAAAAAAATAAACAAGCAAAAACTATTTAATTCAGTGTGTTGTAACCCGGGTCAAGGAAAAATGATGTGTTGTGACCAACCAACCCACAAAATAGGGGCTACGTGGGGGTTCATTCTCCTGTGCTGGCCCCTTCCTTTTGGGCTTTTCGTCCTTCTCAGAGGTTTTCTTTTAATGAGCAGTAACAACCCTATTTGGCAGGACCTCATAAAGCACTTATAAATATACGAGTATTTTATATAAATTCAGATAAAATTTTGCTCATATATTTCTTTCATATTTTATAAATTATGATTAAAAAATTATTTATAAATTATTCTAAACAGGCCTAATAATATCAATGGTCTGCCCAAAGGAACAGCATAACTACTGTTTTCCACCTAAGGTGAAGAGCAACAAAAAAAAAAATTGCTTTAATTTTAAAGTTAATTTAGGGGCAGAAGTTAGTTGTACAAAACGCAATACCAAACATGAGTTATGAGATCGAAATAGGTTGAGAGCCGCAAAATCAGTTTGGGACAATGACATGTGGTTTCAAACACAACTCTAACGCTCTATGATTTTTTTGTGACGTGGTTTAACCAACTATTTACTCTCTTTTTTTTCCCCCAGCACAATCCCCCACCAAATGCGAATAACATGATGAAAAAACATTTCTAACATAAGGACGCAAAGCAACTAACCGTGATTGGCTCGATAGATATTATGTTATCTTGAAGGGTATGGAATGTGAACTGGGGACCACAAACCATTAACACCGAATTAGGATACATAAGAGTTAATTAACTAATTTAATTATATCAAGAAAATTTGTTAAGTTAGTTATTTATAATATATAGGTGCTGTCTTTCTTAAAAATATTTTTGTTAATCAAGTATATTAGCATTAACATTTGATGAAATATTTAATATGTGTAATTAGAATAAGGATTACCTTAAAAAAAATAAATAAGAGATAAAATAAATTAAGATATTATATTTAGAATTAAATTAAAAAATATATTTTTTCAGCGTAATTCCGAATCATAACTCTACAATTAAATTTTAGTTGTCCTTTTTGACAGTTTGATGCTGACAGGGCACTCATTCATCGGTAGAGAGAGGTGGAGAGGACAACGTGTCGGTGAAGCTAAACACCATACTGACCAAAAAGGCGGGAAAACGGGGGAATTAATTACCTTCGTATGTTCCCATAAAAAACAAAAAAAAAAAACCTTCGTATGTGCTTCAGTCTCTTGATGATGCTAATCCCATTAGAGGCCATGATTTATGAACAATTATTAGGCATTGATTACTTATTAGATAATCCCTCCGTCTTTTTCTTATAAGCGATCTTAAACTCCATCACGTAGATCAAAAAATTATTTAAAATTAGTTAAAGACAATAATAGATAGAAATTGAAAGTTTTTCTTCAAAAATACTCTTATTTATAGGATAAAAAGAGTATAAGAAAAAGAAAATTATTATAATAATAAAAATTATGAAAGAAAGAGAATGTGTGATGGAGAGATATGATGATTTGAAAGATAAGATAATAAATATATTTAGTAGTAAAATAATTAATTAATAGGTGTAAGATAGAAAATTTGCTATAAAAATTTAAGACAACTTACAAATGTTATTTATATTTAAATACAAGAAGAAGACAGTAGTTGTTGTTTATAAAAAAAGACAGAAGGGATATTGATTAAAGTAAAAATGCACATTACGTCCTTTAATTATTGCACTTATTCTAATGCTATGATTTTTAAGCTGATAATATCCAGCCTACAACAAGTCACATTTATTAAACAAGCAAAAAAAAAAAAAAGAATAACTCCTTTTGGATAATTTTTGAGAAGCTGCGGGCACATTGTCCATGGGCCCAAGTGGATGAGACCTTTTTGAAACGGGGAATCATATCATGTGCAGTTTTTGTAGTAAAACAGAAAGACATCAGTGTGGACAGTAATTGACACATGAAGGTGAAGCCCATGTACAACAGTGGATCACGAAGCCCGGAGAATACCCACAACGATGAGTTAGCCTTTCGCGTGTGCCGTGGCTGGCTCTGTGCCGTCTGATCAGTGAACTCAAACAAGGGAGAATAAATACAAAACGTCGTAAATTGACAATTGGATTTGTATTATGACATGACCCCTTCACACCTTAATGGGACCTACTTTCAAGCCTCTTTCCAATGTCGTCCTTGTCATCACTCATCTCTCACAGTCATTTGATCCATTTCCACCTCAATTTTTTGGCCAATTTCGACTTTTCACAAGGTTCTCATTGCTGCCCAAAGCTAGGCCACCAGATTTTACCAGGAGGAAAAGAGGCAAAACTGTAGGAATCACAAACTCTGGGAACTTGTTTGGTTGTCTTTTAATGCACACTTGATAACAGTCAACTCATGTCTGCTCTTACCTTCACCTCTATTTTTCCAGTTGCTCGGAATTTCAATCGGATCCAATGCTGCAACGACTTAGGACAGACCACGAAGCTACCCAACAACAACAATGGAGGGGCGAGATTTCCTGAGAAGAACGTTCTGATCCATCCATCTTCCATAGCACCACCTCCGAGGCCTCGAAGGATCATCCTGGTACGACATGGACAGAGCGAAGGGAATGTCGACGAGGCTGTCTATACCAGGGTCGCTGATCCCAAGATTGCTCTCACCGAGAAAGGCAAGGCTCAAGCAGAGGAATGCGGATACAGAATCAGAGACTTGCTTATCAAAGACGGCGCTGAAAATTGGAAACTTTACTTCTATGTGTCCCCTTACAGAAGGACTCTCGAAACCTTGCAATGCCTGGCTCGTCCATTTGAACGTTCCAGAATTGCAGGACTGAGAGAAGAGCCCCGTCTCAGAGAGCAAGATTTTGGTAGCTTCTCTGCTCTTTTACGGTACTGATTTCTTCAGCTGTATATTCATGTTCTTTGTCTACGATCGTGAAGGGAATTTTCAGAATAGAGAGAGGATGCGAAAGGAAAAACAAATGCGCATGCTTTATGGTCGTTTCTTTTACCGATTTCCCAACGGAGAATCCGCGGCTGATGTCTATGATAGAATCACAGGTTAGATAATCCTCAAAATAATTTATATATGATCATTGAAAGTAGGAGCTTATTATTGTTGGCACGTTGGGAAAACGCCAAACAGGATTCAGGGAAACTCTGAGAACGGATATTAACATTGGGAGGTTTCAGCCGCCTGCTGAAGAGAAGATAGACATGAACCTAGTCCTTGTGTCGCATGGTCTCACACTTCGAGTATTCCTCATGAGATGGTACAAGTGGACCGTCCAACAATTCGAGGGACTCAACAACATGGGCAACGGACATATGCTCGTCATGGAAAAAGGCTATGGTGGAAGGTAGTAACTTTTCTGAATCATCTATCAGTAGTATTGTTCTATGGAAATCTGAACTGTATACACTTATGAACAAACAGGTACAGCTTACTGATGCACCACAGTGAAGAAGAGCTAAGAGAGTTTGGATTGACAGATGAAATGCTAATTGATCAGGAATGGTAAGAACACAAACATGACCCGATATTATTTGCTTTGATTGTCGTTGTGGCTGAAACAGAGTATTTGTGGTTGGTGAAGGCAAAAGTTCGCAAAACCAGCTGATTTGAACTATGAGTGCCCAATGGTCAATTACTTCTTCCCGCATCTCAATGAAGAATTAAGCAGGACATAAGAAGCGTGATAGGCAGATGTTATCCTTCCTTCTCAGAGGCAGTTAAATCTTGTAGTAGCATGAGAAATGATCATATTAACCCTCTTCTTCCTACTTACTGTAAACATATACATGGGAATCAGGATTTAAGTTTCCACTGCCAATTTACTACTTCTTTGTTGTAATCGATTAAACGTTTAGGAACTCTAACTTTCATAATCGAAATAATCATGGAATGTTAATAATAGTCTCTTTTGAATGATCATTTGCAGTGAGGTAGTTTCTTTATCAATTGAGAAGTTTTTCCTGAGAGAGATCAAACATATTGTGTGCGTGATCGTCAACCAAGCAGAGATCTTTCCTAACTCTTAACCCTCATCTACAAGCATCGTCCTTTGTCAGCATCGAACAAACCTTCCAATTGTCAACCTTCTCCCATCTGCAAGAACCATTCATAAACTACCCTCATGCACCCAGCGGCTCTTCCTTTTGGAACGCTTGTGATTTTCCCCCCCACATTTTCATCAAGTTTGGCAACGGACAGCAGCTTGTCATAGGAAAGGTTCATGGGGGAAAGTATAAGTCTTCTTAATCATCATATCTATAAGTCAGTGTTGGTATGGAAATCTCAACTTTATCGATAAACTCATGAACAAACTGCAGTTTACCATTACTGATGACAGTGAAGAAGAGCTGAGAGAGTTTGGATTGACAGATGAAATGCTCATTGATCAGGAATGGTAACAATATGAACATGACCATATCCTTTTTGCTGCTTCTGATTTTACAACTAGCTGTCACTGCTGCTCAAATTGACGTGTTTGGGGGTTGCTAAATGCTGATGGATGAAGGCAAAACTTTTCGAGACGTTCTGATTTGAACTATGACTGTCCAATTCTCAGTTCCTTCTTCCCAAGTCTTAGTGAAGAACTGAGCAGAAGCCAAGAAGCATGACAGGCGGGTTATCCTTCATTTTCACCTGTAGTGATATCTTGCACTAGCATGAAAAATGATCGTACGCCTTCCTTTTACTGTGCATATACATGGGTTGGCAAAAAAAAAAAAAGGGAGTTGACGTTCATGTTTCCAGTGCCAAAAGCTTTTTGGATATTTTTTCCCAACAACTTTGTGGGTCGAAAATAAGAATGGATGTGAATTAACAAGAGGAGTTTTTTTTTTAAAAAGAAAAAGGAGGGGGAAGGGAGGCCGGTCACCGGACATCTGGCATGCTAAATCCCCAACACAAAAAATCACTGCGCACTTGCCCAGTAAATGACTCCGAGTCCGACCAATGATTTACTAAATTCACTTTCAAGTTATTTCTTCACAAAATCATCATTGTAAACCCCGCACATTATTCATGATTCATATAAAGTACAACTCATCTCCCAATGTCAACGTAATACTTTAGCCCACATCATTGGGGGGAGGGGGGGAGGGGGCGGGGGAGGGGAAGCAGAAAAAGTCTAACAACCCACGATCCCAATCACAGAATAGTTTAGAATGGTAGGCCGCAAAATAGTCCATGATTTTTTATTTTTTCCATCCTGCTAAATTAATTGGAATGGCTGTTTCTCACTTTCCCGCGCCAGCGCTGCCCGCCATGATCAACTTAATTGCGACTTCCACAGTGCTAGCATCACGATTCCAGGTTGTAATTTTCACTCAACGAAATTATAGAATATAGACCATAAATTTCGTGTCTTCCGGTTCGATACACCACACAAACCAAGCTCAAACTTTCCCACCCCTCCAGCTAGGAAAAAGGAAAGGGGAAAAAAGACTCATCGGTAATTAAAGAAAAAAAATCATATTCTTAGGTGTCACAAGTGATTATATTCCCCGCAGCTAAACTTCCATAGAAGTTATTCCTATACAAGCAAAATCGGTTCAATATATTGAGACACATGCCCATATTTAAGGATCAACATAGACTACTCTGCAAGGAAATACAAGTATATCTCCATCAAGACCTTTCTTGGCTCCAAAGCTAACGGATGCTGATCCCATTAAAGAGATCCGCCTCACCATCCTCTCTTTACCTGCCAAGAGCTGCTGTGTTTGTTACATTTTAACGAAGGACCAACCCTGCCTTCACTACCATGCCCTCTTCTGCAGTTTTCGTGTCCATCCATCACAAACTCATTATCATCAATAAACTGTAAAGAAACGAAAAATCATATCAAAACAGATATTTTAGGAAGGACTAGCAGGTGGTAGGTAGCAGTACAGAACATGGCAGTCAAAGGCATGCGACTGCAAATATTAATGCAGTTCAGAATTCAGAAAAGAAAGACGCAACATTCTGACAAAAAACAAGAGAACCAAAAGAGCTAGCATGACGGTAGTAGCTGGCTAATTTAGCAACTTCCAATCAAAGCGGACAGTAACGGAAAGAACACAAAAAAATACTACAAGTCAGTGCATATAATATCAAGCAACTTTATGATTCAAATGAAGCGCCGGACAAAACCTAGATGGTTTGCTCCGGAATAATCGACTAGTTAGCAGTATATAGGTGTAACAATAAGCAGTATGCTCTAAACATCTACCAACAAGTATTGCACACCAAATGTAGTTTATTTGAAGGTGTACGATACTGATTGATAAGCTGTTCACCTGTTTCATGGGTGTGTTAGGAGTTGGAACCTGAATTTTTACTGCTCAGCTAGTAATGTGTTATTTACTCAAATTTATCCTTCTTAGAGAGTGTCTTCCATTCACCTAACAAGACAGACTTCATGATTTAACATGAGTGCAAATCAAATAGAGCAGCGACAAAGAGAGAACCAAAATGATTCTAAGCTTCCAGTCAACCCATAACAGCGATTACTTCCAACAGGATAGAAGCTGCGTAATGATAACTGATTTTTTCCGCCATAGAAACTGAAGACATCAAGTCTAACACACTTCAACCAACTAAAGTCCCCAGGCACTCTATTTAGCTTGGTTTTAAAAGGAAGAAGATTTAAATACTAACCATCATGGAGTAAACATAGTAGAGAAGATCATGAGAATGTATAAGGAGACAGACCCAGTTAAAAACATTGTGATGTGATAATTCTTGCACCCCGAGATCATCGGTCTTCAAGGGTTGTCTATTGTGGCAGTTGTAATTCGTAGATGCTGTGCCCGTTCTTGCTCTCCATTTCGCTTCCAAAAAGCCCGTCTCCACCAAATTTCGAAACCTCTTTGTATGTTTGGGCAGTCTTCCCCAGAATTCAAGAAACGGTTAAACCAAGCAAGCAGGATTTCCTGTTGCCAGGAGAGTGGTAGAGTGAGGATGGTGTTGCTAAGGCCATCCTCAATTAGGTGACGATCAAGGCCTTTGGATCCCCTCCTCATCCAACCAAAATCATCATAGAATGGCACCAACCATGTTTTTAGTAGTAAACACCTGACATCTTTAGAAGCTAATAGTTGTCCCTTCCCAATCCCAACAAACAATCTTGCTGTAACCCTGCTAACCTCAAACCTATGAACTGCAGGCACTTTAGAATGAGCTTCAGACAATTCAGATTGAGATGCCCACGTTTTCAGGAAATCCTCAGCAATCTGCCTATCAATTAAAATATCCAAAATCCAGTACAAATTATCTGCTTGTCGGGCAATTTGACCCACATCTTCCAAGTCAGAAGCTGCAGCTCGCAAAAAATGGTGACTGAGCAGTTGCAGACAATCATCACAAGCCAAGTATAAGGACTCTTTGCGAAGATCATTTTGAGATGAATTCTCACGAAGCATCTTTGACACTAACCCTTTCATTTCACGCCTGGCCTTTTCATCTTTTCCTTCAAGTACCACACGAATAAGTTTTAGCAGTACTTCCTCACTATCATTTGCCTCTTCATTTCCATCAGTAACTTCTGTTGAAACCCTCTTCAAAACTTCCCCGGCAGCTTCAAGACGAAGCTCGGATAGAAGTGAGGCCACTTTCTCTTCTTCGTCCTCTGCCCACGGGGCTGCTTCCAAGTATTCCAAACAAGACAGAACCCCAGCATCAAACCCGATGGCCGCAGAAACCTAACAGACCACAACAGCAGCAATGCGTTCTATGTACGTCAATCAGACAACCATAAACAAGGAAAATTTGAAGGAACTATTGAAAAGGGGGGGAAAAAAGAACAGACTTAGAATTATAAAATAATTTTTATGTGACATACACAAACTCACGATGTAAAAACTTGAACATTAGAATCTCTACCCCACTGAGTTTGGTAGCACTTTTCTTCCTTAGTGGCATAAACAGTTGACACCTCAAATTCAAACTTCCATAATCTACCCAATCACAGCTTATAGCACCACCTAAAAGAAAAACGAAATCTAAGACATTAAGAATCGGGTTACCTTCAAGATACCAAGAACTCTGGAAACATCCTCCTTCATTAGCTTCTTCCTAAGATCCTTACAGTACATCAACCTCAACGTCTCAATGTAAATTTCAACGTCATCGCAGTCAGCGATTTCAACAATGTGCGGCAGCGTCTGCCGCTGCTGCTTCGCCCAGCGATCAGAGAGCTTGACGGAGAAGAATCTGCTATGGGCAACAAGAATTTGTCGGTGAACGTTCATGGAAACGCTGATTCCATCTCTGGAACTGAGTGTGAGCTTGATATCACTGGAGGAGGGATCGTTGAACTGGTTACCAGGGCTGCGGGTGGCCAGTATGTCCGATATCCGTTGCATCATTAGAGCCTGCCTATCCTGCACTAGAATTTGGGGCTTTTGCGCGGAGGAAGGAATATTGTTTTGGGGGATCTGAGTTCTGGAATGGACGTCGGGCTCGCTGGCCATCATTTCAAAAAGGGTGGGGCTCGATCGAGCTTTATCGGAAGGGGGCGGCGGCGACATTGGATTCAGCAACCCCGCGGTGAGGGCGGAGTTGAATTTGGTAAAGCCAGAAGGGAAAGATTCTTGAGAAGAGTGCCCATTGGCGGGGCTCCCCGAGTAGCTAAAATCCATGGTCGGGGAAAACCTACCAGGCGAGAACCGAATCCTGTAGGTGGACGGCGAATCCGAAGGCGAAGAAGGCAATGTGGAACGGCCGAATGAGGAAGCTTCAGGAGAATTTATAAGACGGCGAGGGTGGTCGGAGGGAGCAGGGATGGGTTTAGAGGCGGGGCAGCACCAAGACTGGTTGGGGGAAACAACAGTGGGAGGATCAGGGTAGCGAGAAGAAGAGGAAGAGGAAGAGGAAACGGCGTCGTTGGGAGCGGAGGAAGAAGCAGGGGCGGAGATAGTGGTTTCGCGATGCTTGCGACGCTTGGGCTTGGAGGGTTGGTTTTGGACCTTGAGGAAAGCAGTAGTGGTGGTTGTTGTAGTTGTCGTGGCTGCCATGAAATGTCCAAGAATTCCGTTTTGTTGTCCTTTAGGGCACAGAGGGGGGGGGGGGGGGATTAAATGGCGATGGAAACGAGATGATGGAGGGAGCAGGAAGGAGTCAGTCAGATACAAGTAAAAGACATGAGAACATCGCAGGGTGACTGAGAAAAGGCCATTAAATTAAGAGAGAAAGAGAGATTGGCAAATCAAGTGTCTTGTAGTGAAGAGGGTTTTAGGAGCATGGTCCTCATATGGAGACTAGAGTCCAAATCTCCAGTAACGCTCAGCTCAGGTAATAAGGAAATTGTTAGCGTCGTGAATGAGACGCTGAGACAGCAGGGCGCGGGCTTCCCCCTTTGTTTTTTTCCACCATTCATTTTCCAATTCAGTATTCAAAACCGTTACTTGCACTCTTTGTTTTATTTTTTGGGAGGGCATTTTATCATTTATCATTGTGTCGTCTCCATCCTGAGAGTTAACCATCATTTGTTTATTCATACATGCGTGCCCCAGCTTTCTTTTCTTCCAAGGAATATGTACGCCTCAAGTTATTATTTTCCATCATCAAACGTGACATGTGTTCCTCTCCCACTTTCAGTTCCATACTTTCTCTCAAGGCCAGTGGCCCCATGCAGCCCTTCCATTGCTGCAGCATTCCATTCAATCTCCTTTGCTTAACTACTTTTCTCCACGACAGAACGACGCACTCAGTGTCTGATGGAATTGGAACTTGGCCATGACAAGAAACAAGAGCTGGTTTTACCTGTTAGGGTCTTGGGTCTTTTCTTTCCTATTGGGAACTGTGGTTGGGTTTTACTGTGTATGGAAGATCCTAAGAAGGATGGACTGCAAGATACCAGAAAGTTTGATTTTGATATGAAGGGGGCTCTGGGTAATTAGGCAACATGGTGAGTTGGTTCAGATATGGACCCCTCCTTAGATCCCTTTCACAACCCGTTCGGCAGGATATACATATAGCTGTGTGGCTTCACATGCTCAATATTCCACTACAGACACTGTTATTTGAGTCGGTGGCTATGGATTAAATGTGTCCAAAAAGACTTTCTGAAGGATCCGACAAGTTCAGCAAAGGATCTTATACGCACTGCTTTACTTCACTCGAAGGAAAACTATAATTGCTGTAAACACAAGCATCATGCCAATTTCAAGCTGTTAAAAAATGACGCCCTCAGTAGTTTTCCACGTCTTGGCTGCTTGCTGATTCCAGCAAACCAATGCTTGTGTCTTTGTTTTATGATATGGGTCTCGCTGACGAAGTGAATTGGGTTACGATCGAGCTCGCTTTTGTGTGCCTGGTTGCTCTTTTTCTCAGAGTGGGGCACAAATACTTTACTTGATCCTAAATGTGGCTTATTATATTGAACTATATGGACAAGAGGCCAAATATATCAATTAAGAAAAAGGGGGAGAAACGAGCATTTGTCCTGTTCTTCTATGTTGAGGGGTAAGCATCTGTCATTCCAAGCTTTAACAACAAAGCTGTCTTCTTGGCTGGTCTCCCTCGTGAATTTGGGGTCCCATCTCTCAATAATTAAAAGACCTGATCATGGGGTACTATTGCTGGCCCATTAATTTAATATGCACCTCTTAACCCACTAGAACAGGAGAGCAGAATGCGGAAAGTGCAGTGCTGTGCTCTTGTACTAATTTATTTTGCTGACATAAAGGGCATTGTTTCACACAGGCAAATGGCAGAGTTAGCCTGCCACTAGTGGATTGGTTTGTTTGACGGAATAAGTTGGGCTTATAGGCCCACAAGTCTTTGGATCTTTCATTATTTGAATAGGATAAAATAAAGGATGGTGGGTCGGCGTCTTTTCATTTTCGGCCCAATTAGGTGGAGTTCAAAAACTAGATTTACCATCCATGCACCCAAATAAGAGCTTCAATTAAATGGATACAACTCTAGAGGCTGTTAGGTCCACCCGAAATTTCTTTTCAGTAATAAGAAGAATACTTGCTCTTCATAATTTTTTTAAGGATTTTTATTTAAGCATTTTCAATCAATTACATGCTTTTTGGAACTAAACAACGCAAGAGAGTTAACAATGACTCAAGACTGGTTTTACGAAATAAAAAATCAAATCCCTTATTTCACAGTAAGAATCAAAGTTTATAAAACTTCAAATAAATCCAAGAGGACCCCAAAGAACAACAAGAAACGTGGCTCATTATATATATATATATATTATATTAAAGAAGAACAGATGGGAAGTAACAAGAATTGAGATCAAATAATTAGAGGATTGGTGTCGTTTGGATCTCAACAAGCATCCATTGATACAAACACATGCAGTAGTGATAGAAATGATACTGTACGTAGAGAGAGATGATACATAAAATACGGAAACATAGGCAAGTGGGAATCCGTGGGAATTCACATGAGTGTTTGGAGACACAGGAGGTGAAAGCACATTTAGATTCTCCAAAACGGCAGACACCCCACGTGCCAACCTGTCCCTACCCTTGTCTCCTTCTCCTCTTTTACCCCTCCCCATCCTCCTCTTCCCTTTCCTCTCCATTATCATTATATATATATATATATATATATATATCTCATTCAAACACTATATATGCTTCACCACCAAGCCAAGCAAAAACCAGATATTACAGCTTAACCATACCCATACCCAGTGTGATTATTCCACCTTAATTCTCACGGCTTTCAAAACAAACGTGGGGACGCATCATTACTCATTCGGAGCCATACACCGGATTGTACTGCCTGTTTCTTTAATTGATTTTCCACTATCGATCCCCCTGGTCTTTACGGTATACCTATACGGGACTTCTCATTTTCAGACTGTGGTACCCTCATGTGCACTGCTTCTCTATTCTCTGGATCAGATTGAATACGTACAGTACTAGCTAGCTAGCTTGCTTGCTTGCCTCTCTCTCTCTCTCATATTATTTCTTTATCATTCAGGCTATGTCAGAAGTGCACGCCTGCATTTATTGCGTAACAAGATGGAAACGAAATTTGAGGTGAGATCGATGGATATAACGGCATAGCTGCTTCGCAATACGAAGGAGAGACATCGAAATGAAACGTTTCCTGTGTATGAGGCTCAATGATTAGCGTTTCAATACTCCAAAGATTCAAGGAAAATAAAATAAAAAAAACAAAGGACATACGGAAAGAAGAAAGTGCGCATATGGTCCTCTCTTCTTCTCTCTGCCTTCCAACCTCGCGTGTCTTGTGTTATTTTCTTGTTTCTTGCTGAGTTTTGAACATTCTCTGTCCACATCAACGTGCTCTCACATGTCTGATTAAGCAGCAGAGAGATAATATCACATAATAGTCACAGAGAACCATTCTGGTTATGCCCTTTAAAAATGTGCAACTCGATGCGAATTGTCTCATAAATTAAACTATCTGGTGATACACCAAATGAAGGCCTTTGTCGTGAGGCACGGACAGTATCTGACAAGCTTGGTTGTATAGAATTTCATCTTCAAACCTACCACTAACATAGGATGTGATTAGCAGTTTCAAGTTTGAACCTAATGGCAGGCAACTTCTGATTCCTTGATGAAAGCTTTTGGAAGTAATAGCCAACAAATGGGGCGTTCTGCCTGAAAGATATGACCGAATTGACTCACATGTCAGCTGAGAGTCAGATATCTTTCTTTAAAAAATCAAGTGGGAAGAGGGAAGTAAACTAAACATTTGTACTTTTAGATTCTAAAGAGAAGCAATCATAGTTGGATTTAGCTGGCCTAATGACCTGTTAATCCTATCTAAAAATACAGCCATATGCCAGAAAGCCTGACCAGAATTAATAAGGAAAGAATCATCTGCCTCACTCATTCATTAACCGGCTGTAAAGGCGCAGATCACTTGAACAAATCAACAAACACTTCACTGTAACAACAATAATATATAATTATAATAATGCCGGAAGATTTACTGTAGTCGCGTAGCAGTATACAAGCCAGAAATCTGGTATATGTATGCATATGCATATGACAACACAGAAACCGAAAGTAGAGCTAGAGGGACAAAAATCAAAAGAAAAACCGAAAGGGTATCGCAATAACCAAAGATGAGAGAGAGAGTCAGGTGAAGAGAATAGAGGAAGAAAGAAACAAAAGGGAAGATGGGGGGGTACGTGGATAACAGTGAGGGAAGGTTGGACACTGGACAATGAATGGTTTGAATGATTCAGGAAAAATGGAGAGTGGACCAATGTTGTCTTGGCTGTTTTCAGACACTTTGTCAGACCAGCTAATTTACCCCCATAGCAATATAGCATTACAAGTCCTTTTCTTGATGTGGGGTGCGTATTGGTCAAACACGTTGCACCTTATAATAGCCTCTTACTCTCTCTCACACCTTCATCTCCTTTCCAACCCCACCTTCTCATGCTTCTTCAACGAATCTTTCTACTTAACCTCACTTTATTGAAATGAAAAACGAGTTTGTGTAATTTAATGTTGTTCTGAAGCTGTCATGGACGGACGTACGTACATATCAACATGGCAATTAATACTAGGTGCCTCTGTGTGTGGCTGTGCCTTAACTTGTCCCGGTAGATCAGATTACCATGTCAACAAGGTCGATGCTGCGCCACGACAAACTCAGGATTCTTTAGTTTATGCTCTAGGGGATCTCGTTACAGATTATACGATTAACAATCTTTTTTCTTTAATGTTTTGGAGTAAAACCTATAACTACGTAACGTGTGTATGTATATAAGCCCCTCTTAAAATTTGAATATTCATGGCCGGCAATTAGCAGAAATGCTTAATTACGGGGTCGGACGATGATCGGAGACATTCGATGTTTAGTTTCAGTTTTTTATTGGATTTTAAAGCTAGGGTTTGTTGCCCACCAGCGCAAGACTTTAAGAAATTGAAATAGATTATGTTTTTTCTTCAAAAAATAAAAAGACTTAATCACGTCAAGGGAAACTGGAGATTTAGGACTTTCTCAACGGCCAATCTTGAAAAAAATTCCAATGACTTGATGACCAGATCGAAATGTGATGTGAAGTCAAACGTAACAGTGACACAAAAGCGACTCTTTAGGTTCGCTCCCTAAAATGAGTGGGATGAAACTGGCAATAAGAACCCCAAGAATAATGAAGACAAGTGAGAATTGATGCCGGGGTCTTTGATTTAAGACCTTATTAAGAATTGCAGCATTCCAGCTGCTGATGATGAAAAAAAATCTCAAAAGTGATTGAAGGCATTAATTGATGGCAGAGATGCGCTAGTGACGATAATATTATGATGCACCCAATTGCAAGATACTCCCTCCCGTATTTTTTATAAGAGCCAAAAATTTAAATTTTCTTAATAAAATTTCTTCTGATTGTCTAAACATTTATCATATTTGTACTATTTTTTGTCTCTAATTAATTTTATATATTACATTAATTAAAGGGTTTACTATGTTCTCTTTCGTTTTTTTTCCCCTTATTTGCCTTTTATAAATAAGAACTTGCTTGGAAACAAAAAGTTTATTTCTTACGTACATATTATTTTTAACTAATTTTAACTACTTTTTTAAACTATATAATTTAATTATCATGTTGTTATGAAAAGGACGAAGGGAGTATATAGCTTGCTTGATTAGATTATGTATGAGCCCACCACAAGCTCTATTTCTAAGAACAGTGTCATTAAATGGGAGATTGTTGAGGCCATTGTCATAGGATCTTCTCTTATCTTTGCGTATATATGAATGCTTTCTCCACTGAAGCAAACAAATCATTTAAGATCCTGAAGCTGATGACAGAAAAAAAGGGGAAATCATTGAAAGAGCCGGAGCTGGGTAAAGTTGGTTGGTGTGCTCTTAAATAGAACCAACCCTCGACTTCCTTCGTCACCACTGATAAATATATCTCACTACTCATCATTATGCACACCCATTCCGGATACGATAGCGATCGGTCGATTTAGTAGCTGCAAATTCATCACCCACTTTAATTTCTTGCCTTTTCTTCATCCTCTCATGCCTTCCCAAATTGGATATACATGAGGTGTTGTTTTTAATCTTGCCACTATCTTTATTATCTTTCCCCTTTATCTTTCTCCAAATGAACAGTTTTGTTTTCAACAACTTAACGTCTGGCAAGTTCAACTTTCCGTCGTATCATGCTAGATACTGTTCTAATGAACTAAGTGTCTAAGCTGTTTTTGAGGCCAATTACAAAATTTGAAAACTCTGATAAAAAAAAAAGTGATTTGAGAAAATGAAAAAGAAAGCAAGTTTAGAAGAGAGCTCAATCTTAAAGTGATTGAAGACATTAAATCAGGAAGGCAAACAAATATAAAACATGCATGATACCTATAGCAGATCGATATATCGAAGTGCAGGAAGATAAGTGTCATTCATATTTATAACGCGAGGTGTATTATTTAGTAGCAATACTCACAAATTTGGTCCCCTTTTCAGATATAGTATTAGGAAATATGTCTGAAACAACAAAGCTTGGGAATCACGCAGCTTAAGCAATTAATTAGGAAAGAGACTGATCCAAGAAACCATTATTGAAGCCGTTGATTACAATAAAGAGCTCTGGTTTAATTTTGATTCTTCATGATGAAGCCAACTACTATATTTAGTAACACAAAGCAGATTAAGAGCCGTGGATCATGCCCTGCGTGCGGACGCTTAGGAAAACTGCTGGATGCAACAGGACACAAATCCCTTGCTTTCTCATCTTTCACTATGTTTTGTTTCCTCAAAAGCTGTGACCCTTCACTATCTATTTTCACTATCACTTCAGCTTTTACTTATTACCCCTCTTTTGACCAATGATTGAGATTGTTGCCATTCTTTTATAAAACATCCACCCAAAGATCTTGCCTTTCGCCCTTTCCCACCTTCACATTAACATAGGATCTTAACATCTCAAATTATTTTCAAGTAAAAAGGAAAAGAGAAAAGGGACGTGAGCTCTCTGAATTTCTTATGCTGTTATATTTTGTTCATTCATAGTAAAATTATGAGAACAAACTACATCTTTTTTTTTGTAATTTCCCCAGATTTGCATCCATGCAATTTGGAAGCTACATATCTTTCACATTCATGAATAAGACATCAGTAAAAAGTGGTCTGGGGAGGAAAGAGAAAAAAGATCACTCACAGACATTACACCCTTATCTTATTTTAATGAAGATTTGTCCCGTTCCCACATTGTAGCCTCCTGTCATTCTCCACAAAGTCGAAGCCCATTTTTGTCATTTCAGCCTCCTCACTTCAAAGTTCTATATAAACCACCCTTCTCTCTCTTTCTCACCCTCTTCTTCTTCAACCACAAAAGCAAGCGAGAAAGCTCCCATATCTGTCTCTTCCTCATGGGATTCCCAGTGGGCTACACAGATCTCGTCTTCCCCAAGATATTCCTTCACGTCCTCTCTCTTCTGGGTTTCATCCGAAAACTCATCACCATTCTCTTTCGCTACCTGGGTCTGCACGATTTTCTCGAGCCCGACATTGTTTGGCCCCACCCGGTGCCCGAATTTCACTCGGTGTCGGCCATGCTCATCCGCGAAATCCTGCCGGTCGCCAAGTTCTCCGACCTGGTGGACCCGCCGGATAGCTGCGCCGTCTGTCTCTACGAGTTCGAGGCCGACGACGAGATCAGGCGGCTCACCAACTGTAGGCACATATATCACCGGGGATGCCTGGACCGGTGGATGGGTTACGATCAGAGAACGTGTCCCTTGTGTCGAACACCTTTCATACCTCACGATATGCAAGCTGCCTTCAATGATAGGCTCTGGGCTGCTTCTGGCATTCCAGAATTCTACGCTGATTCTGAAGAATATCCTCATCTTTCTTCTTTTTAGCTCTGCAAATACTCTTCTGTGGTTTTTTTCTTCCTTCTTTCTCATTAGTCCTTAGGCTTTACAGGGAAGAAAACCAGGAGGGAAAAAAAAAGAAAATTGTACTGTTGAGATATCTGTATATATACAGCAGAAAAAGAGAAATCCAAAGCGAAGTCTCTGTAGTTAGATGAATTTGTAAAGTTTATTCTCGCTTCAGATTTTGGATCTCAGTTTCTGGCCTTTGATATTTCACTTCATATTTACATAGATTTGAAAGAGCTGCGAGCTCTTCTTGCATCGTACCAGATTTAGACGAAACGCTAAACGATGTATCCGGTAATGAGATGAGAGATTCAGTGTGTTTTTTAGGCGCAAATCCATGGATTAACGCAAGACTGAGTAAGTTCCAGGGCGGTTCCAGGCGCCACCTTACATTTTTCAAGTTTCTTTAATTTAATCTGTTTTTTTTTTTTGGCCTTCTCTTTTGGGTAAATGTGAAACCGTATACGTAAACAAGCCTACTAAAATATATTTTAATAATGATATCAACTAATTTTTAACGTTGATGGGGACAGAGAAAACCTAGTTTTTATTGTTATCTACGCCAAGCACATATTAATTTATTGGGTGAACAATCTTTCTGGGGCTAAAAAAACGCAGGCAATTAGGTGTAAGCAAGAAAGTGAGATGCACAAGATCGAAGACATTACTATATATACTAATATTGATTAACCAACGCAGAAAACTGAGTTTTATAGATGAAGCAGACCAAAGAACCGCAATTGCCTGAGAGAATTCAGATCTAATTATGATATCGTCGGAAGCAAGGAAAAAGATGCGGGGAAAATCATTTCCGCCTACAACAATTTAGTTACTAAAGGGTGGTGAAAAGAATAATAGAAAGTGGTTATATGTAAGAGACATTGTAATCAAATCAAACATTTGAATCTCGTAAATGGGGGAAAAAAATCACTTTAAAGATGTTCTTTTGATTCATGATACCCCACACAATAATAATATCGGATGTAATGTATAATCACATCAAAAAAAGGAAATAGAACAATGATTCAATCATTCTTTATTTTTCTCCATCCAGGACTCTGAACCCACAGGCATGTATTGAGAAGAATTGAGCAGCCTTTTGTTTGTGTTTCCCTCTATACGGGGGATTAGGATCATATATACATATGTGCTTTATTTCTTGCTTCAAGAAATGCCTTCACTCAAAAAGTGTATTGGTGAGTATTGCTTGTTCTTTTGTTGATTCTCCTGATATAATTTACAATGACACCATAATAGAATAGAGGCCTACACGCAATCATATAACTTCCAAATTTAGCATCACATGATTAATTTTTTAAAAAATAATCACAAATATATATTAATAAAATTGAATGAAGTGCTATATATGCAATGTAAAACGCAACAGATAGAGAGAATTACAACTAAAGATATGCTCACATGAGATTAATTATCTTCCCGGTGACTACTCCTCCCATCAGATATAAATAGCCTCACACTACTTCAGTTTGGCTTAGCCTCACTCGATGAACTTCTTGTTTTTTCTTTCTTTCTTTCTTTCTTTGGCCTTTAAGGCTGTTTCTTTTTCTTGGCAGGTCCACAGCTTATTGAATGTAACTTTTGACAGATAGTAAAAAATGATGGATGCTAATTAACGTGGTTGAAGAAAAAGCAAGCTAGGTTATGATATCCAAGACGACAAACCTAGCTAGTGAAATATAAAAGCCATCAATTTTCACTAATGACGACAAAACTAATAGTGAATTACTGATGGGGCTCATGCTCTGCTTAGTGAGGGTTTTTGGCTATATATGGCTCATCATGCGGCCTAAGTTACTGAACCTGTTTCCGGCAGGTAAGCTGCTAGCTGTTGTGTTTGTGTAGTCTTTTGTTTACATCATCAGATTCTTGCATCTGCAGCTACTCTACTCTTCTCGTCAACCATAGGAAGCACTTTCACCCGTTTCAAAGCTGAGATTTCTGCCGTCAAGCCCAAGAGCTTTGGCAAATTCCCCACAACTTAGTTACTGGCGGTTAAACTTCATTCCTGCCCCCGGGGCATAGCTATACTTTTACCGTGAGCAATTTTGTTTGAGAAATTATTAGGCATTAAATATAAACGCCTCTCTCAGCAAGAATTCAAATATTAATTTGTTATATTGTAAGAAATAAACTCCTTCCATTGTGGTGATTAAACATTTTTTTTTAATATGCAAAAGTTTAGGTGAGTCATGTCCGTAAGGGCTCATCAAGGCCAGGTCATATCTCCAGGTCCAGAGAGCGTTTACAAAGATACTTATAGATTGTCTACCAACAAAGTTCTCACGTTGACAGTAGGATTCAAACTCATGACCTTATAAATTATAGGCCGATTTCTTACTAACTGAATAAACTTTTTTTTTTTGGTTGCCCACCCAGTTCACCGGAGCTTTGCTCCGACTACATCTAGATCCGACCCGCGTCGCGCACCTGGCTATGGTGGGTGAGTCTCCCAACAGAGATTTCTACATACGCTGAGGCTCGAATTCGAGACCTCACTTAAGCGGTACCAAGCCGCTTACCATTTGGACCAACCCCTGTTGGTAACTGAATAAACTTTTGTTAGTTGGTGATTAAACATTTTAATGCCGAAGACAAACCGTAAGACAAAAGCCCAACATTGATGGGAATATGGGCTGGGGATGAAATAAATAGACCATGACACCTGGTGCTATTATTGAACTTCCGCTGCTATGATGGCAACTCTTTATTCGGTTTCGATAGCCCTTTTTTTTTTTTCTCCCCGACATCTTTCATGGCTGAAACACATCATTTTGCGGACATTGAGGCGGAGAATTGTTTTCTTCACACCTCATGATTAAGGGAAAGGATTCTCTTCTCTTGCTATTCTCTTTCCTTCAGTCCCCCCCCCCCCCAAAAAACCATTAGACCAATATTTTAGTAGTTCAAATTTAATAAATAATTATATCAAAATTGGTAAAATCTAATCTGAACAATTCAAAATGGCAATAAAAAAAAATATTTAATCAAATTTAAACTGTTTAAATGTTGATCTCATAGTTAGGGAGAAAACAGAGAAAAAGGATGAAAAGAAAAGAGTAGAGAACGTTGTCCTCACAATCAAGCATCCTCATAATATAACCTCACCTCTCATCTTCAAAAGGCTCTGAACTCATTATTCACCCACTCATTACATGCCAGCCCATACTCCCACTCGGTATCATATCCATATCAAGCCATTGAGAATAAAAACAGAAAAGAATTATCCAAAAGCAAGTTTTCTTAGTATTGTCGTTGTCGAAGAAAGCCAGAGCTCATTGTTATTACATCCTTGAAGTCGGATGGGTAAACTAATAATCTACCTCACATTCACACCATGACATCGCAAACATATCGTTAATTAGACTACTACTAATTGCACATCATCAAACCCAAATTGTTTAAAGAGATCACAAGGGCTCAGAATGAACAACGCTACAAATAGTCTCGTCATTACAGAAGATATTAAATCTGTGAGAGAAATGTAACGTAGCCATTGCATTTCGGCCCACAATGCTACTGCCTGCACATGTTTACCCAACTAGGCAAAGTTTGAAATGGTAATGCTTTGACACTGAAAAACTCAACCGGAACAGGAGAGCAGGAAAAGGCATTCTATAACAATGTCGATCACCTACTGTAACCAGAAGGGGGATATGCCGGTGGAGGATAGCCAGCAGGGGGGTAATTTTGTGCAGGATAGCCCTGAGCTGGAGGTGGATAACCATAGGGCTGTCCGTATGCAGGTTGCTGTGGATATCCAGCTGAAGGAGGAACTGGTTGATCAAAGCGTGACATCTGTTGAATAGGAGGAGGAGCCGTTACTGGCTGAGGCCCAAACTTGCCATCTCGCTTGTCCATTTCAATCTTGTGCTGAGTCTGCAAATACAATTCGCTATGTGTGATGTAACACATTACACGATGTTAAGATACACTAATGGGTCGTGCCTATTATTTAACAAACTCACCTGCATGCATGCACAGACCCTGCATACAAGATTTAACATACATCAGTAAAATGTCCTCTTGAATAAAAGTGCAAGATGAAAGAGAAAGGAAAGGAAGCCTTACGTGCAGTACACCATATCAGCCAGACAGTTTAGCAACTGAGAAGCTTGTTGAATTTCATCACTTCCAACAATCATTGCGATTATGGAAAATATGCATGCAACTTGTTGAAGGACAAACATAAAACCCTAAACATGTAAGGAAAGTTAAACACTGACAGAATATCACCAACAGAATATTGGCATTAGAGTTCATGTGCATGCGTTTGTGAGTGAGCGAGAGAGAGAGAGATTACAATAATGCAATTGTCACATTGCGTAGTTTGGATGTTAAATTCATCTTGCAACAGAAAGCGAGTTGAGGCCACTGAATTTCCAAAGCAGAGGAAAACCTACAATAATGGAAGCATCATAGCAAAATTAACAGGAAGAGAGAGCACATGTAAATTAACCAAAGAGCGTCAAAGTAGAGAGCAAGTCTCGAAAGAAGAAAAAAAAAGACCATCCTGAAAATGTCCAAACATTGCATGCTCTTTATTTACATAACCGCCAATTTAAATGTCACTTTCTGTTTTTTAGTCAATTTCTTTTAAGCAAAATCACCTGATACATAAACTTCAGTACCACACAGGCACAACCTTTGATTTTAAATCTAGCTTTTCAATTAAGTGATAACTCAACAACCTATAAAAAAAACACAGAGCGGAAAGCCATTTTAACACCCATGGCTTCTGCCGTACATTAAGGTGAGAAACACACACAGAGTAACATACCTCAGTGCAAAGACAAAATTCAGGACATCTACTTTCTCCACACCTCCCACTACAAGGCAAGTAACCAGCACAACATGTGTATCTGGAACAAAAAAGACATCAGCATATCACAATAACAGGTTATGTAAGTCAGCTTACAAGCTTAAAAAACTGAAACAGCATCAAGCTAACAATTACCTTGACATGTCATCGTAGAGAGCTCTTTTGCGGAGCAGGTATGAAACGCATGGTGCACTATAATTAAACAATATCATTAGATTTCTTGAAGCAAAACACATACACAAGTATGCTTTTACAGCTGTTGTTTAAAAGGTCAAACGGATGAGGTTATTGGAGATATAAAAAACACTATTATAATTTTATGACTGAATTGACAAGCACAAAAGTAAAAGATCACATATACTGAAACAGGTGAAACAACCAGGTCATTCAGAAACTTTGGAAAGTCCATAATCTTATTTGGGAATGTAAACTTCTTAATGAAAATGCCTAAAGAACATGTCATGCGGCAAGGACACCTGGTACTCTCCAATAAACTGATAAAGCCTGAAGGTGAATTCGCTGTCAATGACAATTTGGTCCGTACTTTTAGCCTTGACCACATTATGGAAGAGATGGCTCCTATGCTCAAGGTATACAGTATCCACAGAAGACATGCTATGATCTAATCTAACAAGAACTTTACAAAGGAAACCCACACCACTTCATGAAGCAAGACAACATATACTTCGTCTTTCCATTCTTTTGGATGAACAAGAAATATTGACAGACACTAACTGTGCCTCAAAACAAAGTAACAATATGGTTTCCTTATAGAGACAGACTAGTTTTCTATAATCCACTTTGAAGATAAATGACGCTATTTTATCTTTTTACAATGATGATACATATTGACGTAAATCCTATCCCCTGATGGAGAGTAAAATTTCATGAATTATAACAAGTAAGTTCTCAGAAGTCTACGATCAGTCTCAGAAAACGTCAAATTTAGTTTCAGAAATCACGAGTATGAAATTGCTAAGAAAAGGAAGCACCATCCATAGGGTCGGTACTCCGGGGTTTGAGCTATTAACAGCAGTTCCCTCAGGAAACCGCGCAATACACCAAGGCACAATCACCAGATACCTCTTCACTCGGGACCTATATATTATTATCCCATCGTCTCGATGGCTAAAGACTGAGATCCCCAATAGCCATTTCAACAACAGTCCACCCTTTCCTGGGATAATCTGAACCCTCTGGTTCGCCCCCGACATGCATTGCGACAGCACAATCATGATCAAATAAAGAAATAATACTCAGCTACCGGCATTGAAAAGAAATGAAAGACACAATTTTTAGGTATGGATTCGACAAAGTGATTTAATTTCAACCGTGACCTTCCATCTTCAATATTATACTCACTGGGAAAGATATACTTCGAAAGTCAACATATGTCAATGCAAGTCGCTCTCAATCCAAGATTTAAAAGTTTAAAATGATAAGCAGCAGGAAATCAAAAGCGAACTTCCATTCTCTCCGAAAATTTGAGGCACAAGGTCTAGTAATTTGTATCCGTATATCATTGTCTCCACGAGACCAAATCAAAGTAGGCATACAGTAGCCAAAAGACCCAGATTGCATATGGAAAGATCGGTGGCTTATGGATAGATAATTCGCAGAGTCATGACGATGGAAGTCAAAAATCTTAATTCTAGATCTGAATCTCTCGATGACAAACAGCTGGGAATCGAATGCGAACACCCATTCTCTAGGAAAATAAATCGTCTAATAATCAATAACCGTGCAGCAAGATAACGAAAAGATCCAGATCGCTTACCACCACAACGCAAAGCAACAATCTGCACAAAATTTAATTTTACAGTCAGTTTCAGAGAATCAAATATAATAATGGTGGGGGCCGGGGGGGTGACATTCCCCGTCACAAACTCGCAGGGGAAGAAATTTCATACAGGGGGTGTCGGCCTGGATGGTCCTCATGAGATCGGTGTGCCAGAGATTCCGATAATTCTGACGAAGCTGCATCTTCTCAAGGTGCTCCTGCGACGCCATGTCTTCCGCCGGTCTTGACAGCGACTAAAACTATTACCCCCCAAAAGCAACCGTAGAACCGATAATTTTCAGGGAATCCTGCAAATGCAATGCCACTGTATATACACACACAAAAGGAACCGGCTATCGAAGACAGAGTCAAGGAATTTCGAAATTGGCTTCCACGAGACTTGAACAGCACAGCTCTCAATTGGCGTGCTCGCTCAGCCACCAGCCATATTGACCACGACGCAGCTGACCCGTAAAGGCCCGAGATTTTTTTTCCCCTTTTATATTATTAATTTTTAATTCATTAATAATCACTCCTCTGATTTTTTTTTTTTTAATAGTAACATCCGAGCTGATCATGCAAATCAAAATACTAATTAAAGTTAGTTAAAAATAATAAATATATAAAAATAAAATTTTTTCTATAAAATATCTAAGAGGAAGAGTATAAAAGAGATAATAAAAAAATTATTATAATAAAAAGAATTATAGAAGAAAGAGAATGTGTAATGGAGAGATGATAGTTTGCGAAATAAGATAATAAATATATTGAATATTAAAATAAGTAATTAATGAGGGCAAAATAAGAAATTCTCTACAAAAATTTAAGACAACTTATAAATGTTGATTATATTTAGGAACAAAAGAGATATGGTAGTTGTTGTTTATAAAATAGGATTGAAGGAGTATAATTTTAGCCTGAAAAAATCATTTTTAACTAATTATTGCCTCCAAAGTTATCATTTTCTTTGTTTCGAACTTTCACAACTGATTTTTTCAAAAAAAAAAAAATTGGAATGATCATAATTGGTTATATTTTGGGAGAATGACATTGAGGTCCCATGGAGAACAAAATACATCAAATTGGTCCCCTGAAATCTGATAATTTTTTTGAAGTCCCAAAGGGACTTGGATGCAATTTTTAGAATCTTCAAATGACTTATTTGCCCTTACTCATGATTTCCCATTCGAATTTTTTTGGACGGACCATTCGAAATTGCTGAGTGAATTTGAAACCCCGACCGAAGAAATCGTCTGGCGCCTTCGTCCTGTCCGAAATCCTTCGTGCTGAGAATTCGGCCACAACCCACCGTGCTGCTTCAAATCTACTCACAACCCACCGGAAATCGTGACCGAAGTCCTTGAAAGCCTGCCGTGGTGGCTCTGTTTTGGCGTGGCGGAGCGAAGCGCAGCGGAGCGAAGTCCCGGTTTTGGAAGGGAAGCGGAGCAAAGTGCTGGCGTCTCCGTTCATCAGTGTTTGAAGCAAAGTGGAGGTCGTCCTGGTGTTTGAAGTGAAGTGCTGGCGTCTCCCTGTATTGAAGACCGAAACCGAGGTTGGAATCATCATCGTCGTCAGAGGTCGGAATCATTGTAGTGAAGACCGAAACCGAAGTCTGAAAGCATCGTCGGAGGTTGGAATCATTGTTGTCACGGTAAGCAGTAAAGCAATGGATTTTTGTGTTTGAGTTTGGTATTTGGTCATTGTTCGTTGTTGTAGCTCTGTTCGGCAATGTTGAAACTTTCAGGAGCCATAATGATTGAAAAATAGAATTACTTCAAATTGGATAACTGATTATTTGAACCTCTGTGATGGCTTTATATGTGGAACTTTGTTGTTCGGTAACCTTACGATACAAATTACAGGGCACATGCATTAGGTTGTATGATGAAATACCAGGGAAAATCCAGCCGTTATTCACCCACCCGCCTTTATGTCTGTGTTTTTAGATCCTTGTATTAAACAAATATTACCCTCCACTTTGAACAACAACAATGAATATGCAGGGCACGGACACAATAAATTTGTATACCATTTAATTAGTGAATTGATAGTATTGAAAAATAGCCTCTTAAAAGAAATAATTTTGGCATGATTGATGGTTTTATTTACAGAAATGGATTTAGTGCTGTTTGATCCATAACCTTTAATTTGATTCATCATTTGTTATCATGCCACATCATCAAAAAAGTGTCAGAATTTTTTTTCTTTGTTTCGTAGTGCTTTTAAAAAGATGGGGAAGGATGGAACCAACAAAAGTGCACAACAAAGAAGCTGTAATTTTTCTGGGTATGCATTATTCACAGAGGAATTCCATAGGAAAGGCTCAAGGAAATACAAATCACTTGAATCTAGGAATGAACATGTGAGAAATGCTTGGGACAAATTATCTAAACAGCAAAAAGAGGAGTATTGTAACAGAGCTAAGGAACAAAGAGCTCCCACAAAGTCCAAGAAGTATATAGTTCCTTTCTACACTAGATGTGCACCAAAACAATTTATGCAAGTTTGCAAGATAATCAAAGAAAGGAAGGATCTAATGGACAGGCTGAAGAAGATAGGTTTTGACAAGCTAGTGGAAGTATGTTGCCACACAATTCAAAGAGAATTGTGTGGAGAGTTTATGTCTGCATTGGATCTTGCATCAAAAAACATTTCAATAAGAGGGAAGAGAAGGGAAATGAGGACAAAAGATGTGCATGAATTTTTGGGGCTACCATTTGATGGAGAAGAGATTAAAGTAGTTGTGAATAATGAAGATGAAGTGTTCAAGCAGTGGAGGAGTGTGTATGGCAATATTCCATACAAGAAGATAGCATCATTGTTGAGTGAGGAGAACCAAGATGAAAATTTTGAGGTGCTGTTTGTCATGTATGCATTGGGAACATTGTTATGTCCTAATGCAAGTATTTGTGTCGGTGATTATTTGTTGAAGGTAATACTATCAACAAAGGATAGATTGGATAAGTTTGATTGGTCCTCTTATGTGTTGCATGAACTATATAAGGGGATTGGAGTGTACAAGAAACAATTGGAAAAAGGCAAGTTGACTGAGAAGAAGAAGAATGTGCCAGGTTGTCTATACTTCCTAATGGTAAGTGCTACAATAATTTGTATATTTCTGTTGTCATTTGATGGTGTGAATGTTGTCAATGGTTGCTGTTAACTTATCATTCATGTCACATGCAGTTATATTGTCTACAAAATTTTCCATTGGGAGAAACAAAAGCTGCACATGTAAAGGATGCTGTTGCATATTGGGATGAAAAGAAAGTGCAGCAAAGAGTTAAGGAGGAGAAGGAAAGCAATCGAGGACTCTTGCATCCGGCAAAGCAATCCACCAAATTTGATCCTGAAAATTTAACTCACCCGGTATGTGGACTTGTGGGCTTAATGATTAATTTTTTGTTTTTCTACTATTGCTTACTGTTCTGAATTTTATTTGTATAGGAGATAAAAAAGACATATACTCGATTAGTGTCTATGCTGGGGGAGGAAATGATGGCCCTTCAGTCAAGACTAATGGAGGGTAGTGGCAATGTAAGTGAAGAGGACAAAGATGAGGAAGAAGAATCTGAAGCAGAAGAGGAAAAAGTTGAGAAAGGAAGTGATTCAGAGGATGAGGAAGAAGATGACAGAAATGAAGAAGAAGGATCTGAATCACAAGATGATAGAAATGAAGAAGAAGAGCAAGAAGCTCAATCAGAAAAGGAGATGGGTGGACAAGAATCACATGACAAGGAAAAAGAAGAGGATGAAGAGGAAAAAGAGAAGGGAAATGAGGAGAAAGAAGATGAAGAAGAAGATAAAAGAGGAGAAGAAGATGAAGAGGACAAAGAAGTGGATGAGGCCACCCAAGGGGAAGGGAGTGAACATGTGAGGAAATCTACAAGGGTGATAAGTAAGGGGAAAGCTCTTAGGTCTCCATTTCTGGAATTTAAAAGCAAAGCTGGGAAAAAGAGAACAATTGATGACAGGCAAGCTTTATTTGACATGTGTACAGCAAGGTGTAGCCAAGAGGAGCAAGAGAAGTAAGTATTATGTTTTGGTGACCAATTTTGTATTATGTTACAGAATTTACTGAATTTACTAACTTTATAATTGTTTCATTTGTGTTAGATACTTTGTATCGATGTATGGATACTTCCTAACCCGTGGTGAGTTGCAATGTCTCCAACGTAGAAGATGGATAAACGACAGGGTGAGTCACACGTACATAGTTAATAATATAGTGAGTTATTGCATGCTAAGTAGTTGTAATTTGTTTGTATTTGCAATTTCAGTTTATGACTATGGTGGCGAAGACATTCGTTGGAGATCAAAAGGAAAAAGATGGGCGAGTCAACCGTCATATATTTTCTGCAGATTTCATGCAGAAAATGGTGGCGAATCCTTTAAGGTGGAAATGGGAGGACCATCAAAGAGAAATATTACCTGAATATATTGGATACAATATCGGGGATTGCGATTTCATTTTTGGTCCTACTCTATTTGAAGATCATTGGTTTTGTTATGTTTTTGAGACAAAGACCATGACCTTCCACGCCCTTGACTCGTTGGTTGATAGCATCACATTCATAAGATTACAAGCCGAGGAAGAAGAAGCAAAGAAGAAGGGGGTGAGCAACATGACGCAAAGAAGAAGAAGAAAAGGACAAGTAAAAGGCAGTTCGACCCCAAACAGTTCATGGCAACACAAACTGTGAGTAGTTATTTACAGCTTTTACACTTGTCAATGACTATTATAATTGTTAGTAGCAGTCTGCATAGTTCTCATTACATGCTCTGGTAGTTGTCACTGGAAGCTGTACTAGTTGTCACCGGATGATCTGTTACTTATCACTGGATGCCATGCTAGTTGTCACTGTATGCTCTGTCCCTTGTCACTATATGCTGTCGTAGTTGTCACTGGATGCTGTGCTAGTTGTCACCGGATGATTTGTTACTTGTCACTGGATGCCATGCTAGTTGTCACTGTATGCTCTGTCCCTTGTCACTATATGCTTCGTAGTTGTCACTGGATGCTGTGCTAGTTGTCACCGGATGATTTGTTACTTGTCACTGGATGCCATGCTAGTTGTCACTGTATGCTCTGTCCCTTGTCACTATATGCTGTCGTAGTTGTCACTGGATGCTGGGCTAGTTGTCATTGCATGCTCTGGTAGTTGTCACTGGATGTTGTGCTCGGTGTCAGTGGATCATTTGTTAATTGTCACTGGATGATATATTAGTTGTTAGTTGTCACTTAATGATCTGTTACTTGTCACTGGATGATATATTAGTTGCCACTGGATGCCCTGTTAGTTGTCACCAGATGCTCTGTTAGTTGTCACTGGATGCTCTGTCCCTTGTCACTACATGCTCTGTGAGTTGTCACTGGATGTTCTGTCCCTCGTCACTGCATGTTCATTATGCGTGTGTGTTTTTTTTGCAGATGAACTGTTTCCATTTA